CCAGCTGATGGAAAACTACAGATTGAGCCCAAAATTTCCACGCTAAACAAGACAGTTAAACGAATTTTGCCCCATTTTACAATCTTTCTTGCCACAGTTGTTAAGTAAATCATAGAACATAGAATAACAGAGTTTTGGTAGGGACTTTGCAGGTCTTCTAGTCCAACCCCTGCTTGAGCAGGAAACCCTATACCAGTGATGGCGAATCTTTTCGGCACAGTGCTGAAACCGAAAATGCACACACACGCCCGCAGCACTGGAAACCCGAAGACCAGCTGGCCGGTGCACATATGCGCACCAACCAGCTGATCTTTGGGTTTCTGGTGCACACGTGTGCCAGCCAGCTGGTCTTCACGCACGCCGGAGTGCCGGAAACACAAAAACCAGCTGGCCAGTGCGCATGTGTGCGCCAGCCAGCTGGTCTTTGGGTTTTCAGCGCGCACATCAGAGGTGGGTTTCAGCAGGTTCTGACCGGTTCTGGAGTAATTTGAGTAATTCGGAGAACCGGTAGTAAAAGTTCTGACTGGCCCCGCCCCCATCTATTCTCTGACTCCTGAGTCCCAGCTGATCGGGAGGAAATGGGGATTTTACAGTATCCTTCCCCTGCCACGCCCACCAAGCCACGCACGCCCACAGAACTGGTAGTAAAAAATTTTGAAACCCACCACTGGCACATATGCACGCCTGCCAGCTGGTCTTCGGGTTTCCAGCGCTCCGGCGCACTTGAAGACGAAAACTGGAAGAGCAGCTGGTGACGGAGCGTGTGCCCACAGAGAGGGCTCTGCGTGCCACTCTGGCTTGCCATCACGGCCCTATACCTTTATTCACTATTTTCATTTTACCTATATCACTTCAATTGTCAATTAGTAACATGGTGGTTAAGTCAATCCAGCCTCCCCACTGACTGCTTGTCAGAAAGTTGCAAGAGGGGGATCATCTGACCACAGGGCACTGCAACTAGTTGCCAAGCATCTGAATTTTGACCATGGGGATCCTGCAATGTTTGTAAGTGTGAAGAATGGTCATAAGTCACTTTTTTGATGTAACTTCAAATAGTCACTAAATGAATGGCTGTAAGTCAAGGACTACCTGTACTGTTCTGCTTCTTTTTGACCATCTGACTTTTGCAGTGATTCTTCAAAATTTGAGGAAAGAGTGCTGTTTTAAAGCACTGTCAGATTAGTATGTGCAGTCTTTTGTTGTTGTTAGTTGCGAAGTCGTGTCCGACCCATCGCGACCCCATGGACAACGTTCCTCCAGGCCTTCCTGTCCTCTACCATCCTCTGAGTCCATTTAACCTCATGCCGACTGCTTCCGTGACTCGATCCAGCCACCTCATTCTCTGCTGTCCCTTTCTTCTTTTGCCCTCAATCTTCCCCAGCATTAGGCTCCCTTAAATTCTCAGAGAAGAGAGAAAGAGGTGTTATTTCATGCCTCCATAGGCAGTGTTTTCCATGGTTTGCACATTTAAAATATATAACTGCTGACTGATGTCATAAAAACAGAAAATTTGGGATTATGGATTTTTATTTATTTATTTATTTATTTTTAAATTTGTATACCGCCCTTCTCCCTGAGGACTCAGGGTGGTGAACAGCCAAATAAAAACATAAACTACAAGCAGATTAATCTGTGCAAAGATCCATAATCCTAAATTTTCTGGGTTTTTGTTTAAAAGTTAAAAAGTTAAAAAGACCTTGAAGAATAGAACAGTACAGTTTCTGTTGGAAATACCCATCCATGTATTGGAGAACATTCTTCTGTGATGGAATTGAACTCTTTCCTCTTCTGCCATACTTAGATTTGATCATGCATGAATAAACCTTAGAGTTTTATATGCGATGAGAATTTTCCTATTAAAATGTAAAATGCATTTTTCCCTGTTCAAGGCAGTGTAAAGTTCTTGTCCTGTGAAACGCTTTGTTTTTTTACTTCAGTTTGATGGAGCTGAGCAGTGATTCAGAACATCCTTTGCACACGAATTAGACACAGCCTGTTTACCTCATCTAATTCATGTGCAAATGATGTTCTGAGTCACGTTCAGCTCCATCAAATTTTGTGATTTTAACAGGAGAGGATGTTCTTTTATTCAAGACTGATGTCGGTTGAGTTCTTTTGAAGGTCAGCCAGATCTGGTTCCCAAATAACTAAGCTGCTTTGAAACGAGGTGCAGCAAATAGATTTAATTAGTTAATTAAAATAAAAACATTCTGTCTTCAAAATACCTATTTTTCAATTTCCACCGACTGACCCATAGCTGGCAGTCCCTGGATCCTGGCTGACCTCTTTGTGGTAAAGGTCAGGCTTCTCACTCACCCCTGGGATTCTAGATGCCATTGCCTTTTTAAAGGGCCTGTAAGGAGGCCGTGAGCTGCAGAGAGCAGCTTGTGATGCATAGGGGATTTTGTTTTGCATGCATGCGCCTTAAGCAGTTGCACCTAAATCAGAAGCTGCAGGGTTTGTTATGCGGTACAAATTGCACTCCCAGTGATCTATCTACCATCTTTGTGCTTGGCAGAAACATGAAAGCATGAACTTGCAGCTTTGCAAATCCTCGGGTTTCACAGAAAGGATTTGGCAAAACAAATGGTAGCGTGTACAAGGCTTTCTGAGATCAGCAACAAAATTTTCCTCCCAATTATAACAGGTTGTGGCTTGTTCTGGGCTTTTATTGACTGTAATCAAAGTGACTTCTGAAATTTGAATTAGGTTTAATTTTTGTATTTAATTATTTAATCTATCAAATTTGTTTGCTGCCCATCTCACTGCAAAGCAACTCTGAGCAGCTTACAACATTAAAACGAAACCACAAATATACAGTATATATAAATCACATTAAAATGGCAGTAAAATACATCTTATCGCTAAAGGGGGTTACAGATAAAATTCAAAACTTTCTTGATTGTGAACACAGGCTTAGTGGGGAATGGTAGACTGTTTTGTTTTGTGATGTATTTTGCGCTTCCTTCTGCTTTTTTTTTTTTTTTTTTGCTTTAATTTATATGCCGCCGTTCTCCGGAAACTCAGGGCGGCTTACAATGCGTTAAGCAATAGCCTTCATCCTTTTGTATATTTATACAAAGTCAGCTTATTGCCCCCACAATCTGGGTCCTCATTTCACCTACCTTTGAAAGGATGAAAGGCTGAGTCAACCTTGAGGCTGGTGAGACTTGAACTTGCAGTAATTCAAGCAGCAAATGTTAATAATAGTGCTTTAGTCCACTGTACTACAGGCTCTTACAATTGCTTGTGCAATTTCTGTAAGTATGTCCTGGAATTAAAAACATGACTTTAAATTTTCAGTTTGTGCAATGGTGGACTGGACTGATCTGAGTTCTTCTACATCAGTCTTTCCTTAGGCATAAAAGCTGGTTCGGTGACTTTCGGCCTCTCATTCTCTCTTGGCCCAACCCACCTCACAGGGTTGTTGTTGAGTGGAATATAAGTAGCAAGAGCATTTATTCCACACTTGGAATATTGCATTCAGTTAAGATGATGAGGGGACTGGAGGCTAAAACATATGAAGAACAGTTGCAGGAACTGGGTATGTTTAATTTAATGAATAGAAGGACTAGGGGAGACACGATAGCAGTCAGGGTGGATAAAAATCAATGATTTTTTTAAAAAAATTAAAAAAAATCAGATTTTTTTGATTTAAATCGGATTTTTTTGATTTAAATTGGATTTTTTTGATTTTTATCGAATTTATTTTAATAAAAAACTTGGGGTAAAAATCTATCGTAAGATAGTTTTCTATTTAAGATACATAAATAATTTAGTTTATTCAGCATGAAATGGAGCTTAGTTATGTAGCAGGAGGCTGTATATTCTGGAACGCTGGGACTATCGGTGAGTCAACAGTGGGTCAAAGGAGTAGCAGAGATGACAGTTGCTCTTTAAAAATTATGATTTAAATCGAGTTGATTTAAATCAAGCCTTTTTACTAGTGATTTAAATCATGATTTAAATTGTGATTTAAATCAACTCGATTTAAATCAAATCCACCCTGATAGCAGTGTTCTGATATCTCAGGGGCTGCCACAAAGAAGAGGGAGTCAAGCTATTCTCCAAAGCACCTGAAGGCAGGACAAGAATCAATGGGTGGAAACCCATCAAGGAGAGAAGCAACTTAGAACTAAGGAGAAATTTCCTGACAGTTAGAACAATTAATCAGTGGAACAACTTTCCCCCAGAAGTTGTGAATGGTCCAACACTGGAAGTTTTTAAGATGTTGGACAACCATTTGTCTGAAGTGGTGTAGGGTTTCTTGCCTAAGCAGGGGGTTGGACTAGAAGACCTCCAAGGTCCCTTCCAACTCCAATTCTATTCTATTCTATTGGTTTGAACAAAACAAAGTTGGAATACAGGTCATCCTCGATGTATGACCACAATTCAACCCAAACTTACTGTTGTTAAGCAGGGCAATTGTTAAATCAGTCATCCCCCCCCATTTCACAACTTTATTAAGCAAATCACTACAGTTGATAAGTGAATCATGCAGTCGTTAAGTGATTCTGGCTTCCTTCTTGCTTGTCTGAAACTGGCTGGGAAGGTTGCAGGTGGCACTCCCAGGATGCCGCAACCAAGTTTGATCATGTGACACTGGGATGCTGCAACAGTTATAAATGTGAAAACTGGTCGGAAGTCACTTTTTTCAGTGCCCTTGTAATCTTGTGATTTATGACCAGTTCTCATACTTAACGACCGCTGCAACATTCCCCCCAGGTCACGTGATCAGACTTTGAGTGCTCCTCCTCCTCTCTGCAAGTCCCACTCCCTTCTACTACTGATGGCGTTATCTATTTGGGTAATGAAATGTCTGCAAGAAAACCACCAACCACAGAGAGCATCAAGGACCCCACAGTTCAACCCTGAGCAACAAATATTATTTTCTATGAGTTTCTCTACTAGATGACTTCCTTTACGAAGTCATTAGCCCACTAGGAGCATGTGATTACGACATATGTGAAGTCTGATCCTGCCAATTGTTTCCTTCGTAGAATCCTAAAACCAAAGAGCAGATTGAAAATCTGTTACGAAATGGGAGGAATAAGGAACTGCGCGATCGTCTGTGCCGCAGGCTGACCTTTGGGACCGCTGGTCTCCGTTCCGCCATGGGGGCTGGCTTCTGCTACATCAACGATCTTACCGTGATCCAGTCGACCCAGGTGAGTTCCAGAGCCATTGTGAAGGCTAAAAGCTCTGTCCCCCCCTCTCCTCTGTCCCACATACGACATCAGATGCATTGTTGGTGCCCCATAATGCATGAAAGGCGTATCCTGAATTGGAAAAGCAAATTAAAAAAAACACAATTGTTTAATATCCCACCTGCCTCTGATACATGTTTGGTACATGTAAAACAGGGATCTCCAAACTTGACAACTTTTAAGATTTGTGGACTTTAACTCTTAGAATTCCTCAAGCAGCCAGGATGGCTTGCAAATTCTGGAAGTTGAATCCGCAAGTTTTAAAGTTGCCAAGTTTCGAGACCACTAATCAAAAGCAGTGTTTCTCAACTGTGGCATTGTAAGATGTGTGGACTCAGAATCCAGCTTGGATTTTGTGTGGGTTTCCAATCTCAGAATTCAACTTTAAGATCTGTGTACTTCAGGTCCCAGAATTCAACTTTTAAGACATGTGGACTTCAACTCCCAGAATTCATCTTGAAGAACTGCGTACTTCAAGTCGCAGAATGCAACTTTAAGATGTATTTAAGACGTATTTAAGATGTATGGACTTCAAGCTATTTTAAGTTGAAGTCCACACATCTTAAAAGTTGCCAAGATTGAGAAACATTGATCTAAAATGTTTCTGCCATACTCTTCAACTAAAAAGGCTCAAAAATGGACAACAAAGCCAAGCAAGTTGTGTTTCCTCCTTGCTTCCATTTGAAAAAATGCCGCAGAAAACGGAGAAATGGAAAGGGAGAGAAGTACAGGCAAAGATAAATGGAGAAGCAACATTCTGCTGATTTTCTCCCATTTCTGATTTTCTGCTGTTGCTGTCCATTTAACATTGCGGTTGCAGGAAGATTTTCAATAGCGTGGAAGAATCGGGGAGAAAGTTATCTGAGGCAGGACTTGGAGGAAGCAAGAGCTGGCATTGCTTTGGAGATTTTGGCATTGTGGAGACAGTCAGCAACCCTTCTTCCTGTTGACTCGGCACCGAGCGTTCAACGAAACAGATTTGCCCTGTCTTGTTAAGTAATTCTCAAAAAAACAACAACAAAAAAAAACAACAACCAAATGCTTGGGGTTATTGGTGAACTTGGCTTCACCTCCCTTACAGGAGAAAACGATAAAGTGGAACAGGGCCTTGCTCGTCTGAGCTTCCTGGAGGAATATTAAAACAGAGAGGATTTGTTTTTCCTAAGCCTGCCAGAATATTACGTAGTGTTTTTTTAAAAAAGATGTAAGTGGAATAAACCCTGAGGAAACGCATTTAGAAATGAATTATTGTCGCGTGGCCCTATTAAAGAAACAAAATGCTCACTGCTTGAAGCGCTAATTTCCAATGAAGGGAACATCACTTTTTATCTGAATTTTTTTTTTTTATCTTGGGCAAGAGTGACATTCCAAGGAAGGCTGTGGCAGTGAGGCAGTGTGGTTCATGTCTAGGTAGTCTTTGGCTTACAACAGTTCATTTAATGACTGCTCGAAGTTACAGTGGCATCGAAAAAAGTGACTTATGACCATTTTTTACACTTACAACCATTGTAGCATCCCCATGGTCACATGATCAAAATTCAGATGCTTGGAGATGGGTTCATATTTATCATGGTTGTAGTGTCCTGGGCAGTGGTGAAATCCAATTTTTTTCCCCTACCGGTTCTGTGGGCATGGCTTGGTGGGCGTGGCAGGGGAAGGATACTGCAAAATCTCCATTCCCACCCCACTCTGGAGCCAGCAAAGGTGGCATTTGCCGGTTCTCCGAACTACTCACAATTTCTGCTACCGGTTCTCCAGAACCTGCTGCTTTCACCCCTGTTCCTGGGGTCATGTAATCCCTTTTTGTGACTTTCTGACAAGTAAAATCAATGGGGAAGCCAGATTCACTCAGTAACCTTACTAACTTAACAACTGCAGTGATTCACTTAACCCTCTGTGGCAAGAAAGGTCGTAAAATGGGGCAAAACTCACTTAACAAACATCTCACTTAAGAGCAGAAATTTTGGGCTCAATTGTGGTTGCAAGTCGAGGACTACTTGTATAAATGGAAGCTTTCATTTTCCTCTTTTCTCTGAATTGCCCATGTGTGAGTGGTGAACTTATTAACAATCTTGGTTATGAGTATTGGAAATACGAAGAGGTTGTGTTTGTGTGCGCAGGATTGAAAAGCTGGGGAGGTGCCTGGAGCAAGACCTGCTGTACAGTAAAGTAAACATGAATTAATAGGAGCAAGAATGGGGCAGATCAAGAGACCTTGGATCACTGTGGAAGCCTGCCAGACTCTGAACTTCCTTCTTCTTGACTCCGAGTTGGTCATGCTCTGAAAGCCTGCCCAGCACATGCTGGCTTTGTGCTTTGGTTTGCTGGGAAGAATGTGCGCTTGGAGATTGGGCTGATAAATCGCAATAGGCGTTTCTGGGAGGAAGGTCACGTTCAGACACCAGGGAGTCTCTGTGACTACGTTTTGTTTTGTTGATTACATTCTGGGCTGCTGGATGTTTGCTTCCCTAATTCCTGTGGGTTGCATGGCTGCTCTTTTGATCTAGCAGAATTGTTGCGGTAATTTGGTTGTGAACAAATCCTCTCTATATGATGCATTTAGGGCGTGTCAAATTTTTCAGTTTTCAATTTCCAAACCTTAGGGGTGCTCAAAAGTTTGACATGCCTTGGGGATCATAAAGATATTTTGGTTACTTTAACATAATTTAGATGTGCTTGATAGGTAACTACATAAATACCATAACTTTTTAACATTTTGTTTGTTTTTTACACACACACACACACACAATTTTTGGAGGGAGGGAGGAAGAGGAAGGAAGGAATGCTGCCACAAGAGACTTAGAATAATGCTGATGTCTCCGTAAATTTTCAGTAGTCACCCCAGGACATCTTAGTGAGCATTTTTTGGGGAGGTTAATGAAGGTGTTTTTTCTTGATCTTATCCTAACTGCCAGCCAAGTGTGCATATTTAATTGAGGAAGATCGGTCAGCTACATTATCCATCCGGTGATATATCTTGGGTAAGTTGTGAATTGCACTTAGTAGTTGCTCTTTTTGTGCTAACTGCATTTGCATCTGTAGTAGCCTTTAGTAAGCTGGCTTGTAGTTGGGGAAGGGGTTGCTTTTGGTCCTTGCCCCCACCCCCCCATATTCCCTATATCAACCTTGTATTGCCCCATTGATTCTATTTAGGGAATATCCAAGTAAAGCTGTAGAAACTTGGATTAACCTTTGACTTCCACATCCTGGATCCTTCCTTCTACTACAGTCTTTCTCAGCCTTGCTGACTTAATAATGTGTGAACTTCAACTCCCAGAATTCCTCAGGCAGCCCTGCAGCCAGGGCTGTAGAATGTCTTGGAGGACCCAGATTTTGTTCAACGTTGCCTTTCATAGCTCATTTTGAAGTCTCTTGGTTATATCTTTAGGGTAGTATTTCTCAATCTTGATAGCTTCAAGAAGCGTGGACCTCAATTCCCAGAAGCCTTAGCAACCACCATGCTGGCTGAGGAATTCTGGGAGTTGAAGTTCACACATCTTAAATTGAGCAAGGTGTGGAGAAACACTGCTCTAATAAGTGAATAGAATCTAGCAGTTTTTGAAATGAACTAATGTCCAGAATTGGTCCCTACCTATACATTTTATTTATGCATTTTTAACTAGTTTTTTTTGTTTTGTTTAATCCATGTTGCAGCCAGCCCTAAGAAAAGGACTATGCAATGCAGACTTATTGAGCAATCAGCTCAATGTGTGGTAAAGATTCAGGCACTAGGTCTCCTGAGTGGGATTTGTGCTGACCGAAGTACCAGGCACTAAATCAGCATTCCCCCAAATAGCCATTTTGAGCCTCTATTGGATTTGTGCTGATTCAGAGATATCATCTGGGTTGCATAATTTGAACCCCCACAACATGATTAATTTGGGAGAAATTAAAAACAAAATCAGTACACAAATATGAGTGTATTTATACACCTGCACCTATGCAGAACACAGAAAAGTGAAACAAAAACAATATCGGTGTCAGGTATGTGGAAGGTAGACTAAAATTTCTCCCTGGGAAAATTACAAGTTAGAATGTGAAGTCTTTGCTTGTCTGACTTTGAGGTCCCCAAAATAGAGAATTGTGTACATCTGAGTGCTTCAGACTTTTATTCTGGGGTAGCACAGTTTCTTCTGTTTGTCATGCAGGGCATTTTAAGATTATGCTGTTAGGCAGTCATATCTCAGCTTAATAAACTATAGGAGGTTAGAGTGTTTGTTTGGTCCATGTAATCAGTCTTCATCTCCCTTCCTTCCTTCCTTCCTGTCCCTCCCTCCCTATCTCCTTCCTACCCTCCCTAAAATTTTGCTTATCCAGAAAATAAGCTGAAAACAAGTTAAGATTTTAACTGACTAGTTTTGAACCTGACAATGGCCCAGATACCAAAGAATAACAAATGGAAAGCTTTTTGGCATTATTGTAGTTAGCTGTGGAGAAAGAGGCTGCTGATACATTGATCTACTTAACTTAAATAGAGTTATCTGAATCAGTACACTGTCTTTAGCCTGGAATGGCATGTTTGTTTTGGAAATCTTTATTGTGTGGGGAATATAATGAACCGTACCGTTCAGCAAATATTGTCCATCGTGAAGTTTGCTTTAGCAGTTATCTCCACCTATTGGCACTTGGGGAAAGCGACCGACCGCGAGTAGTTCTTTTTGTTTTTCTTGCAAAGTGATCCAGGGATCAGTAGTTTCAGATAGTAGCTGATCCAAGAGCCTGGTCGTAGGAGACCTTGGGCCATGCCAGACATCTTGTAAATAAGAATTACTCCTTATCTTTTAAAAAAAAACACTTCTATATATATAGCCAAATGGAACCACCACTTCCTTGGACGGAATCCAAGAGTGATTCCTCCTGGTCTAAGCAATAGAGCAGAGGGGTCAAACTGGATTTCTTCGAGGGCCAGATCAGCATTGTAGTTCTCTGCTGGCCGGCCGGGGTGGGGAGGAGAGGAAGACAGGACAGACGCCTCCTGCAGCACCCTGCCAGCCAAAACGGGGCATGGGGGGTTGTGCGCAGCCCCCCTGCGGCCTGTTTTCGGCCTGGATGGCCTCCTGCAGCACTTTGCTGCCCCCCCCCAAAACCCGCCGTGCGACTGCACGCATCCCCCCACGCCTTGTTTTCACCTGCAAAATGCTTCAGGAGGTCATACAGGCCAAAAATGGGGTGTGGCCATGTGCGGCTCCCCATGCCCCGTTTCGGCTGCCAGAGACACCGCGGGCCGGTCCTTTGCTATTTCCAGGCTAACCCAGAGGCCAGATTTAAGCACCGCACGGGCTGGATCTGGCCTGCGGGCCTTGAGTTTGATAGCCCTGCAATAGAGCACAATCGCAATAACCTTCCATTAACTTTCCTACCCAGTCAAACGATACTGTATTCTTCTCCTCTCTCTTTTCCTTTCCTGCAGGGGATGTACAAATACCTTGGGCAGTGTTTTTCCGACTTCAAGCAACGTGGTTTTGTGGTAGGATATGACACGCGAGGCCAGGTGACCAGCATGTGCAGCAGCTTCAGGTACGGACTTGGTCCAGATTTAAAAGTCTAGAAGTAAAGAATGCCTCCGTTTCTCTCGCAGAGGCCAATATTAATAGTTTGAAGTGGAGAGCAAATCTGGAAAAAAAAACATTTTTTTCCTGCAAATGAGCATCAGTAATAACTGTTAATTAATGCTTTACATAGATCTGACTGGATTCAGATCTTCATTCTCTCTCAAGGGGTCAGTGAAATCTGGATAGTTTTGGGTGCCACGGAATAGAAGCTGTAGATCTAGATCTAAATCCTTTGTTGCAGACAAAACATTTAAGCAGAATTGAATGATAAATATTAGCTTTTCATCATGGGTACAGTTATCATACATTCTCCTGCAGAATTTGCTGTTGATCCTATTGAATTAATCTGGAATCCAACAGACTCACAGGGTCTAAATGTGTTTTTTAAAAATCATCTTGTAATATGGAAAGTATTTTGATTTGGGCACGAAGCTGATTCAGAAGAGAAATTTGTTCAACGGGCCCGTGTTTCTGTGCTTGCTATATCCCTCAGCACTTTAGGGTTCCAGAACAGACATGTGCCTTAGTCAGCACTGTGTAGTAATTTGTGCTGTTGAGAAGGATGGCACTATTTTTATGCCTTCGACTCGTTTTTTTAAGCTCCTAGAGAGCGCCTAGATTAGTCCCTGCAGTATTCTAGGCAAGATTTCAGGATTGGTTTTGGCCATTGCCTTCTTTCTAGGGCTGAGAAAGAGGGACTGGCCCAGGGTAGGTGGCTTCATGCCTAAAGTAGGACTAGAACTCCTGGTCTCCTGATGACTGAAGTCACCCAGCTGGCTTTCGTGCCTAAGGTGGAACTAGAATTCACTGAGTTACCCAGCTGCTTTCAGCCATAAAATGGGACTAGAACTCACGTTTTCCTGGTGATTGGACCAAAATCACCCAGCCAGCTTTCATGGCTAAGGTGGGACTAGAACTCACTGTGTCCTGGTAACTTGATCAAAATCAGTCAGCCGAGTTTCATGCCTAAGGCAGGATTAGAACTTGTGATCTCTCTGTATCTAGCCTGATGTCTTAACTGCAACACCCAATTACTTCTCATGGCAAAAATCAGGAAAGTGTAATGCAGTATAAAAGAAGTAGCTGAGCTGTTTTGCAGCTCCTATGATAGCATGTTATCAGTCTTGCCCATGGCTGATTTTTTTTTTTTTCCTGAGAAGCTATTTATTTCCTGTATTTTAATTTCTTGTTTTCCACAGACTTGCCAGGCTCACAGCAGCAGTCCTGCTTGCAAAGGGAGTTCCTGTTTACTTGTTCTCAAGATACGTCCCCACGCCTTTTGTGGTAAGTGGCCATTTTTTAAAATTCTGACTGAGCTTCATGGAGTGGATTGGTACTTCTGCTGTGAAAGGCTCTTGAATTTGGTGGCACTGCGGTTTGAATCAAGCTGGCCATCTCAACCACCATATCCAGAAACGAAACGGGGTTAGTGCTGGGCGCCCCCTGTGGTAACTGAAGATTTCCCTTAATCTACAGGCAATAACATCTCTTCATCCCTCCTTAAAATTGCACTGACAGTCCTCGACTTACAACCATAACAGAGCCCAGAATGCTGCTTGTATGTCGTGCCAGTCATCATTAAGCAGGTCCCCATGTGACCAGAGCCTGCTTTTACAACCTTTTTCAGGCAGTCATTAAGCGTTATTAAATGAACATTACAATCATTAAATGAATGCCATGGTCATTAAGCAAACTCATTTGTTTCCTGCAAAAGACATTGTAAATCACAGTTGCGTGACTATGGTGTGTTGCAAACAACTGTATAAAGGTGAGCTAGTTGCCAAGCACCCAAAATGCAATTGCATGGAGAGAGGCCGCTGTCAGAATTTTGAAACCAGGTTGTAAGTAGCTCCCGGGAGGTCTGTCGTAACTTGAAACAGTTGCTAAGCAACTGGTCATAAGTCAAGGACTGCCTTGACCAGGTGCTTGGGGTACGTTGGTGTTCCTTCTAGGGGTTAAGCCTGGGTGATTTTGGTCAACCACGCACGAGTTTGGACAGTTCATAGATATGATCCAGGATCTCTGAAGGAGATGGCGGTTTAGAAATATTAAATATAAATAAATTTTGTTTTGTAGCCGTATGCGGTCCAGCAGCTCAGAGCTGTCGCAGGGGTGATGATTACAGCTTCCCACAACCGTAAAGAAGACAACGGCTACAAGGTAAGTCAGCAAACTTTGTAGGTGCCTGATTTGACTAATTGGTTTGCAACTTTTCCTCCTCTCTCCCTAAGTCAGTGATGGTGAACCTTTTGGGCTCAGTGTGCCAGAAGTTTGGAAAATGAGGGGTCCTTGGTGCCCTCAGCAAGCACATAGCCCTCTCACGTGACCTCAGGAGTCCCTGGAGACTGTATGAGACTGCACACCCCATTGCTGCAAGGCTTCCACAGCCTTCAAAAATTACACATGGACAGGGCTTGTTTTTGAGAATAGTTGTTAGTTGTTGTAAATTGTAAATTGAGGACTACCGGTGAGATGTCGTAAGTCGAGGACTACCTTGTGTACCTCTGCCCACAGCTTGACTGTTAATTGAATTCCTCACTTTTGCAAACTCTCCCTGCAGGTCTACTGGGAAAATGGCGCTCAGATCACATCCCCGCACGATAAAGAGATCCTGAAATGCATCGAAGAATGCGTGGAGCCCTGGAACGACTCCTGGAATGAAAACCTGGTGGACTGCAGCCCTCTCACTCGGGACCCTCTGCAAAAAATCTCTGCAAGCTACATGGAGGACCTGAAAAAGATCTGCTACCACAGGTAAGAAACCCAACCCTGTAAGCACAGTTCCCACAGTTTGAAGAGGAGAAATATAATCTCCGGAGAAGGAAAGCACGTTTACCTGTGGAAGTAGTCGACACCCAAGATATTTTAAGTAATGAATAAAACAGCTAATTCAGTAACAGAATTTACATTTCCAACAACCAACCTCTCTGAATAGTTTGATGACCCTTCCCATTACGAGATAACTCTGTTTCTGTTTTCCTTGAAGTCATCCGTAACATGGGTAGAGCCAGGACTGTTTCCTGGAAACTGCCTTCCTCTTTTTTTATTAATTGCATTTTTAACCCGCCTTGATTAGCTTTATGAATAACTTGAGTGTCGAACATACCCAATACTCCTTCCTCCTCCTCCTCCTCCTCCTATTTTTCCTACAACAACCTTGTGAGGTGGGTTGTGCTGAGAGAGAGGGACTGGCTGAAAGTCACCCAGCTGGCTTCCGTGGGATTGGCCCACTTCTTGCCTAAGATGGGCTAGAGCTCACCATCTTCTCACCATGGGCCAATCACCATCTCCTGGTGATTAGCCCAAATTCAGCCAGTCGACTTCCACACTAAGGTAGGACGAGAAGTCATCACCTCTTGGTGATTGGGCTACATCTTGCCTAAGGCAGGAGTAGAACTCACGGTCTCTTGTTTTCTAACCTGGTGCCTTCATCACTAGACCAAACTGGGCCCTTTTTTTCTTGCTATCATGTTATAAATGATAGATTGTCTCCTTACTCATCAGGGTTATTTATTCCCAATTAGAAAGCTACCTGATTCAGTAATCACATGTGAACCACGTGGCATATGGGAGACCGTGTAACCCAAAGTCAGCAATCTAAAATTGAATGCAGATTGGGTTTCAATCTAGCATTTTCAACATATCTGACCAAGCAGAAACAACCTGCCACCATAAAGAACTAACTTTGCCTGCTTACTAAAATATTCTCTCAGCCCACTTCTCCACATTAAAAGCATTTACAATGGTTTTGGGGGAAGGGAGCTGACAGTCCTGTCTATATCTATATCTATAGTGAGAATTTCACAATAATCATCTTTTATTAGCCCATAGCCCTCCCTCTCTAATAGAGTACCATGGAGCAAAGGCAGCATTCATAATGTTGGGCTTTGGGGGATTTTAGCATGACTTCCAGTCTTTCTCAAACTTGGCAACTTTAAGACATAAAGACTTCAGCTCCCAGAATTCCCCAGCCAACATTGCCCCACCCCTCTCCCCCAAATGCATGACTGATCTCTGGAAAATTGCATCTTGGAATGTAACAGGAGTAAACCAGTGTTTCTCAAATTTGGCAACTTCTAAGAAAGGTGGGCCTCAGCTCCTGAAATTTCCAAGCCACCATGTGTGGACTTCAACCCCCGGAACACTGACGGGAATTCTAGGAATAGACATGTTAAAATTGCTAAGGTTGAAAAACACTGTGGTTAGCAATAAATAATGGTGAAATGTTTGTGTGTGCTTCAAAATTTAAAACTACAGGTAGTCCTTGACTTAAAATCACAACTGAGCCCAAAATTTCTGTTGCTAAGCAAAACATTCGTTAAGTGAGTTTTGCCCCGTTTTACGACCTTTCTTGCCAAGTTGTTGGGTGAATCGCTGCTGCTCTTAAATTAATGACACAGTTGTTAAATGAATCTGGCTTCCCCATTAACCTGGTTTGTCAGAAGTTCGCAAAAGTGGATCACATGACCCCGGGATGCTACAACCATGATAAATATGAAGCAGTTGCCAAAAGTCTGAATTTTTGTCATGGGACCACAGGGATGCTGCAACAGTTGTAACTGTGAAAAACGGCCATAAATCAGTTTTTTTTCAGTGCCGTTGTAATTTTGAACAGTCCCTAAATGAAGGATTGTAAGTGGAGGACTTCCTGCAGGGTAGCCCCTGTGAAGAAGAGAGCATGGTTGCCTTCAAATTGCAGCCTGCAATTCTGCAGCCAAACCAGGAGGAAATCCGCTTCTCCGCTGCTCTGCCATTGGCCCCTTTTCCCTTGAATTCTCCCCTTTGGATAGCCCTCACTGCCTGCAATGGTGGGGAATATCTGTAGCTCGGGTGTAGGCTGAGTTCGGTGAAGGTTCGTTTGAAGCACTAGCTGCCCTTCTAACGCTTTCTTCCTGCTGTTTTCCATTACAGAGAGCTGAACGCGAAGACTCCCTTGAAGTTTGTGCACACGTCTTTCCACGGGGTGGGACATGACTACGTGCAGCTGGCTTTCCAGGCCTTTGGCTTCCAGCCCCCCATTCCAGTCCCCGAACAAAAAGATCCGGATCCAGATTTTTCCACGGTCAAATGTCCCAATCCCGAAGAAGGAGAATCAGTGTTGGTAGGTGTTTGCCTCTGTGGTGCTTCTACGGGCCACAGGAAGGGGAGCGGCGGCCTTCTCCAAGTCGATCGGCTGGGATCGACACTCCGATCGGCTCTTTTGAATGGTGACCACAAATGTTTTTCCAGGAACTGTCTTTGCGGCTGGCGGAGAAAGAGGGCGCGCGAGTGGTCGTGGCTACGGATCCTGATGCGGACAGGCTAGCGGTGGCCGAACAACAGGAAAAGTGAGTGGCTGGAGGTTCCGGTGGCTTGGCCTTGCCGTAACTCCTTCTTCTTCTTAGCCAAGAGCGTCAACCCCTCAGGAGAAGCTGGCTTGGCTGCTCTCCGTGAACCTGTCTGAAAGTAACATTTATTTATTTAATTTATATGCCGCCCATCTCACTATCCAGAGTGACTATTGGGTAGCTTATAGTGGCAAATAAATGTTATAATCAATCAAATAAATATAGGTAGTCCTTGACTTCGACCTCAACCATTTGTTTAGTTACAGCATCACTGAAAAAAATTACTTATGAACGTTTTCACACTTAAGACGCTTGGAAACTGGCTCATATTTATGACGGTTGCAGTGTCCCGGGGTCATGTGATCACCTTTTATGACCTTCAGACCGGCAAAGTCAATGGGGAAGCCAGATTTGCTGAATGACCGCATGATTCACTTAACAACTGTGGCAAGAAAGGTCATAAAATGGGGCAAATCTCACTTAACAACTGTCTCACTTAGCAACAGAAATTTTGGGCTCAATTGTTGTCTTAAGTCAAGGGCTTCCTGTACTAAGCACCTTTAACAATTTTAATGGCTGGCAGATTGCAGTATTTTCCACACACATCCTGTCTTTAAAGATTTCAGATCTTAACAAAAAGAACCAATGTAAATTTTAGGATTTTTTCCCCCAGTTCTGATTCTGCATATAGATTTGAAGAATTTCGAAAGCTGCCTGCCCCCAAATATCTTTATCCAGTTCTTAAAATGTTCATTGTCAAAAATACTGTTAACAAGCTTTAAAACTTTAGAGTTTTCTTATTTCCAGTTTGATGAGGCTAATTCTGTGTGATCTCCTAGAGCAGAAGTGGGGAACTGTGGCCCCTTTATGACTTGTGGACTTCAACTCCCAGAATTCCTGAGCCAGCCATGCTTAGAATTCCATGCTGGCTCAGGAATTCTGGGAGTTGAAGTCCAAAAGTCATAAAAGGGCCATTCTTCCTCGCCTCCTGTCCCAGAGGAAAGAACTGTGAACATTGCTATTTAGACCTCAGTTTACAAAGATTTTTAGATGTCTATACACCAAATTTTATACAGATTATGTATTATAGCAATAGCATTTAGGCTTATATACCACCCCATAGTGCTTTACAGCACTCTCTGGGCGGTTTACAGGGTAAGCATTATTTGCATCTTGTTCCCAACAATCTGTGTCCTCATTTTACCAACCATGGAAGGATGGACGGCTGAGTCAGCCTTGAGCTCATCAGGATCAAACTCTTGGCTGTGGCAGAGTTTTCTTGCAATACTTCATTCCAGGGTGGATTTGATTTTAATCGAGTTGATTTAAATCACAATTTAAATCATGATTTAAATCACTATAAAAAGGCTTGATTTAAATCAACTCGATTTAAATCATAATTTTTAAAGAGCAACTGTCATCTCTGCTACTCCTTTGACCCACTGTTGACTCACCGATGGTCCCAGTGTTGCAGAATATACAGCTCCTGCTACATAACTAAGCTCCATTTCATGCTGAATAAACTAAATTATTTTATGTATCTTAAATAGAAAACTATCTTACGATAGATTTTTACCCCAAAAGTTTTTTATTAAAATAAATTCGCTAAAAATCAAAAAAATCTGATTTAAATAAAAAAAAAATCTGATTTTTTTGATTTTTTTAAAAAAAATCATTGATTTTTATCCACCCTGCTTCATTCCAACCGCTGCTCCACCAGAACTCCCTTCTCCAATGTTTATTCCCCAGTATCTGATTGATAACAGAATAACAGAGTTGGAAGGCCCCTTGGAGGTCTTCTAGTCCAACCCCTTACTCAAGCCGGAGACCCTATACCATTTCAGTCAAATGGCTGTCTAGTCTTTTCTTAAAAACCTTCAGTGTTGGAGCATTCAAAGCTTCTGGAGGCAAGTTGTTCCGTTTATTAATTGTTCTAACTGTCAGGAAATTTCTCCTTAGTTCTAAATTGCTTCTCTCCTTGATTAGTTCCCACCCGTTGCTTCTTGTCCTGCCTTCTGGTGCTTTGGAGAATAAAAAATTAAAACTTTAATGATTGTTTCATAATCTAACTATTTTATTATAAATATTCAGATAAATTTGGATTAGCAACATGATTGTCAGTACTGCAGGCTTGTTTGAGCTTTGTCAAACAAGCTATATGTCCCATAATGCTTATTTACATATAATACTGAAGATAAAAATCACAGCGGCTGTTGATCTAAGGAACAAAACCAGACATGCTTTATGGCTCAGTGCAGGTGGAATCAGTACAACTATTGTTCCAGTTCTTCATTTTCCAAACATTTCTTTATTCGTTAAGTCCTAATTCTGCACTTACACGTTCTTTGTGGAACACCATACACCTTGTTCTGACTACCCTTAATCTCATTTCCAATACTAACATGCCAGAATTTGCTGTGAACACGTTTTAGACCCATTTCTACCTTTAATACAGCAGTGCTTGTTTTTATTAAGCTCTCCAAATCCTTAGTGATCCTTTAAGAATTGTTAGTTGCCCTTTGTTGTGCGTTAGACAAGTGCCAAGAGCCCTCCCAGCCTATAAAGTGACGTTTATCCCAGAATGGTTGTGTTCAAACAATTTCTTAAACTAGATTGAATAAGGTTGGTGCACAACATGCTAAGCCTGGTTAACGTTAACCCTGTTTGTTGTTTCATGACATGTTACAAAGAGCTCGCTTGAGAAATTGCCACCCGTGGTTCCAGGAAACGGGTTAATTTAGAACAGGTGGCCCTCAACATAACAACCATCTTTTCAAAATTACAATGGCCCTGAAAAAAATGATTTACAACCGGTCCTTGTAGTTACAACTGTCACCCAAGGTCATGTGATCAAAGTTCGGCACTTGACAACTCGGTCACATGCTTGCCATAGGCAAAAATGCATACTCAATGAAAGCTGAATTCGCTTAATGACCATGTGATTCACTTAATGCCTGCAGTTATTCCCTTAACAATCGTGTCAGAAAAAGTCATAAAATCATGCGCAGCTCACTTAACCACCTTGTGAATAGAGTAGAAATAGAATAGAATAGAATAGAAAATTAAAATAGAATAGAATAGAATAGAACAGAATAGAATATGAATTAGGAATAGAATAGAATAGAATAGAATAGAATAGAATAGAATAGAATAAGGAATAGAATAGAACAGAATAGAATAAGGAATAGAATAGAACAGAATAGAATAGAATATGAATTAGGAATAGAATAGAATAGAATAGAATAGAATAAAATAAGGAATAGAATAGAATATGAATTTAGAATAGAATAGAATAGAATAGAATAGAATAGAATAGAATAGAATAGAATAGAATAGAATAGAATAATAGAATTCTTTATTGGCCAAGTGTGATTGGACACACAAGGAATTTGTCTTTGGTGCATATGCTCTCAGTGTACATAAAAAGAAAAGATACATTCATCAAGAATCAAAAGGTACAACACTTAATGATAGTCATAGGGAACAAATAAGCAATCAGGAAACAATATCAATATAAATCGTAAGGATACAAGTAACAAAGTTACAGTCATGCAGTCATAAGTGGGAGGAGATGGGCGGTGGGAACGATGAGAAGATTAATAGTCATGCAGACTTAGTTTGACAGTGTTAAGGGAATTATTTGTTTAGCAGAGTGATGGCGTTTGGGGAAAAACTGTCCTTGTGTCTAGTTGTTCTGGTGTGCAGTGCTCTATAGCGTCGTTTTGAGGGTAGGAGTTGAAGCAGTTGATGTCCAGGATGCGAGGGGTCTGTAGATATTTTCCCAGCCCTCTTTTTGACTCGTGCAGTATGCAGGTCCTCCATGGAAGGCAGGTTGGTAGCAATTGCTTTTTCTGCAGTTCTAATGATCCTCTGAAGTCTGTGTCTGTCTTGTTGGGTTGCAGAGCCAAACCAGGCAGCTATAACCACCTTAACAATGGAAATTCAGGTCCTGATTCTGGTCTTAAGTCGAGGACTACCCCTAACCTGGTTAAGCCTTTAATCTTGTCTCATTTTTCCCCCCTCAGCGGCCGCTGGAAAGTCTTCACTGGCAATGAGCTGGCCGCCTTGTTTGGCTGGTGGATGTTCACTTGTTGGAAGGAAAATTGTCCCAAGGAAGCCGATGTGAAGAACGTTTACATGTTGGCCACCACCGTCTCCTCCAAAATTCTGCGGGCCATCGCTCTCAAGGAAGGATTTAATTTTGAAGTGAGTTGTCCGGGGGCCTCCTCTTTGGTGACATGGTCCAGGTGGTCTCGGGCTTCCAGGAGGAAGTCTTGAGATGTTTTGAGGAGGAGGGTCACTCAGTCCTGATCGCTGGTCATCCTTATGAACATGGGTTTCCTCCTGCGCTGGTTCCAAACAGAGGTTTTTTTCAAGTCTCGTTTTTTTTTGTGCCTGGAGAATATCTGCCTGTGAGCAGATACTGGTCACGCCTACTGTGAATCCTCAGAAGATCAGCTGCCATGGATTGTGGCCCTCAAGCCCCAGAAGATTCCGACCCAAGTTCAGTTTTGTATGCAGAGAGGTAGTCCTCGACTTACAACCGTTTGCTTAATGACTGTTCAAAGTCACGGCGGCACTGAAAAAAGTGTCTGACTGTGTTTCATCCATGACCCCATGGTCACATGACCAGAGGCTTGGCAACTGGGTCGTATTTATGACGGTTGCTTTTACCTGGGATCACGTGGTCTGATCCCCCCCTTTTTGGGACCTCGTGACCAACAAAGTCCATAGGGAAGCCAGATTCACTTAACAACTGTGTTACTAACTTAACAACTGCACCGATTCACTTAACAACGGTGGCAAGAAAGATCGTAAAAGGGGGCCAAGCTCTTTTAACAGCTGCCTCGTTTAGCAATGCAAATTTTGGGCTCAATTGTGGTTGTAAGTCGAAGACTAGCCCTGTTTATTTGGAGCGAGGAGGCCTGGCTGAACTTGGGTTTACTCTCAAGCAAATACACATGTCCAGAGGTTTAAGGTTGCATATAAATTTGATAAATACAGGTGGGTCATCCTGGACTTATAACAGTTCATGTAGTGACTGCTCAAAGTTATGACACTGAAAAAAAGGGATTAATGACTGTTTTCACACTTATGACAGCATCCCTGTGGCCAAATGATCAAAATTCAGATGCTCAGCAATTGTCTTATATATTTACGAAAGGTTGCCGTGTCCTGGGGTGGGGGAGTCACGTGACCCCCTTTTGCGATCTTTCGAGAAGCAAAATCCATGGGGGAGCCAGATTCACTTAACAACCATGTGACTAACGTAACCACTGCAACGATACATTTAACAACTGCCAGCCAAGAAAGGTCGCAAAATGGGGCAAAGTTCACTTAACAACCATCTTGCTTAGCAACAGACGTTTCGGGCAAGGTCTCGTGGACCGCATCCCTCGGTGAAATCTGCTCGCAGCTGAGTGTGAGCCACCGGTGCGGTTCTTCTGAAAGGAGCATCTCTTTGTCTCATTTCAGGAGACCCTCCCTGGCTTCAAATGGATCGGCAGCAGGGTGAAGGATCTGGTGGACAGCGGCAAAGAAGTCCTTTTTGCCTTCGAAGAATCCATCGGTAAGCCTTGGCCAGCTGTGGCGTCCTCCTCATCCAGAAATAAAGGGATTTCTCCTGGTATTTTTTATTCCCAAACTAGAACCTTTCATTTATTTAGTCAATAAATTGTCAGGGTTCCAATAGCAAACAGAACTCCGAAGTAAACAGGTTCCTCAAAGAACAGGTTTATTGGACATATCATATTGGCACAGACTGGTGAAAAACGACTCTAAAGGTTCCCGCGGTTTTCCCCTAATTAAAAGTAAAAGTTCCCCAAACAATCAAGTCACATGGTCCAATCAAGGTGCCGTCCGGTTGCTTGGAAACTTCACTCCTCCTCTGGTCAGCCGCCTGTGGGAATGAATGTCCTTGGTTCTCAGGGGAAACTATTTTGCTTTGGCTACAAAACCCCAACTCTCTCTATTCTCCCCTCCCTCTCCCCCATCACCATTGTGGCCACACTGAAGCCTCCAAGATGGCCAATTCAGTCAGGTCAGCTTCAGAGTTGACATGAATATGTTCTCGTGAAAGCTCAGTGACGCCTAGGGATATATTTCATCTAAAAATTATTCCATCTCGGCAGAATTCTTGGAAAAGTCTGTCTCTTTTCATTTTGTTCCTGGTTTGGGATGAGGGTGACATCTCAGCCAGAAAGCATGGAAATGCAGGGTTATAGCTGATTTATTATTTATTCGATTTCTATAGCTGCTCATCTCGGCAAACGACTCTGGAGTTATCAGTAAAAATCTGTCAGGGCTGCCATCCTGCTACGCCATGGGGCGGGGGGGGGGAATGGCAGGGTGAGATAAGGAGAGAGTCAGCCGTGGTGGCGCAGTAGATAGAGTGCAGAACTGTAGGCCACTGCTGGCTGTCTGCAATTTGGCAGATCGAATCTCACCAGACTCAGGGTTGACTCGGTCTTCCATCCTTCCGAGGTGGGTAAAATGAGCCTTGTTGGAGGCAGTATGCTGACTCTGTAAACCTCTTGGAGAGGGCTGGAAAGCACTGTAAAGGGGTATCTGTGTCTAAGGGCTATTGCTACCATGCCATCCCATGAGAGCCGCTGGCTGTTCCAAGGTCACACGAAGGAATGCAGAACCATCCAGCCTGAAAAAACAGGGAATGTTACCCAAACAATTTGTTAGCATCTAATTGGGCACTCGTTGATAAACGGGGTGAGGGGTGGATGAGAAGAAGGGAAAAATTAACCCTATACTTTGGCTGCGAAAACTTCTGATCCAACTTTGCTTCTTCTCTAACCAACTTGGCGTTAGTAAAGTATATTTTTGGCTAACTATGGGGCCGACAGTCTTTCTTTTTCTAACTGGCCAAGTTGGGACGGCTGATAAAAATCAGTAAAGAAATAAAAACCATGGAAATGATCCCAGAATTCTGCTATTCCTCTTGTTTTTTTTTTTTAAGCCACTGGTCATTGAGGCGGTTTGATTTTTCAAGCTTGAGTGCTGCTATAATCTACGAACTGCTGTCCTTTGAACGGGATATGTTTGTTTCTCAGGCTTCATGTGCGGCACGTCCGTGCTGGACAAAGATGGCGTCAGCGCTGCCGTGGTCATAGCAGAAATGGCTGCCTGGCTGGACACCACGGGCCAAAGGCTGGCCCATCAGCTAACGGAGATCTATAAAACGTAAGTCCTTGGCTGCCTTGGATTCAAGAAGTGCAAACGGCAGCAGAGGTAACCTTTTTTAAATTCCACAGCTGGAACTGATGTTCACACAGGCACGCTGTCAGCCTCTATGATGCTTGCTTGCTTTCGGCTGCCATTGTTAACAGGAGGGGGGAGGCATTGCTGGTATTTGGGAGGAGGGGGTTAAATGAGCTGGTGGAGATGTCTCGAAAAAGGGAGGAAAATTCTCACTGTCTTCATAGCAGCTGCAGAGAGAGCTGATAGCTGTCAAGGTCAACCGTTCCGGCATACCGGATAGATGGGGCCGTCTGAAGAAGTACCCCACATGATACCTTGGGGAGATGTGGATTGGACACTCAACCTGGGTCCTTGGGGGGAGGGATTTGGGGGATGCTTTCAATATGTAATTTGCACGCCTATTCCCTCAGACTTTGCTTTTCCTTCGTTGCATTCAGTTCATACTCAGTAAAAGTACCTTTCTCTACAAACATGGAGTTGGGGTTTTTCTTTCTTGAGTTTTGAACGGAGGCACACTTGACATACGTTGCTGTTTTTTGGCAGCTGCCACAGAGATTCTGCCTAGAGGGGATGCCTCTCTGCCACCCCTCCCCCCCCCCCCCTCCCCCTGCTCAGGCTCGGCCCAGCTCGGAATAGATCCAAAGTCCCAAAGGTGCTTTCTTCCAAAGGGACAACCATGACCTGAGGATCTCCATAGACGATAGATCCAAAGTGTTTTCTTTTAGCCAATTCTGCCTTGTCTTCTCACAGGTATGGCTACCACATTTCAAAAACCTCCTACTTCCTGTGTTACGATCCTCCTACAATCAAAAGGATATTTGAAAGGCTCCGAAACTTCGATATGCCTGATTCTTATCCGACCTCTTGTGGGACTTACGGTATTCTTCATGTCCGGGATGTCACCACCGGCTATGACAGCAGCCAGCTGAAGAAAAAATCGGTCAGTCGTTTCCCTCTTTTGGTTCAGGGTGACCGAAGCTCTGTAGTTTTGGTTACTTCTGGAAGGTTTAGTTTCTTCTTTGAAACAAGCTCTTTCATAACTTCGTTTTGTTTTTACAGATGCTCTAGAGAAGTGCTTTCTGCTTTATTCAATGTATATAGGTAGTCTTCCACTTAACGACCCTTTGAAGATACAGCATGACCCACTTAACAACGGCAGTGATTTGCTTACCAATGGTGGCAAATTGCATTGCAAACCAGAGGGATACGTGCCTAAGCTTATATCCTGCTTTGAAACGCACAAGTCACGTAGCGTCCTGCTGCAAAAATTAACATATGCAAATCCCAGATTTCTTTGGCAAATCACAAAATTCCAGATTTATTCCGTTTCCACAGAAACTGGTATCAATTTCCTCAAATCCAGACACAGTTAGTCCTTGAGTTTGGGCTGTAATGGAGCCTGCCCAATCATGAGTTGTAAGTCATGATGGTCGTAAAGTGGGTTTTATGAACTTTTTTGTGGTGGGCATTAAGCAAATGCCTTGGTAGTACAGGGGTTTAAGGCACCCTGTTATTAAACTGCTTAAGACCAGCTGCCTGCAATTTACTGCTGGTTCGAATCTCGCCAAGGCTCAAGGTTGACTCAACCTTCCATCCTTTCTAAGGTAGGTGAAATGAGGACCCAGATTGTGGGGGGCAATAAGCTGACTTTGTATAAATATACAAAAGGATGAAGGCTATTGCTTAACGCATTGTAAGCCTCTGAGTCTCCGGAGAAGGGCGGCATATAAATCAAATAAAAAAAAAAAAAAATTAAGTGACCAAGGGATGCAGCAAACAGCCGTAAATGCAGGCTGGCTACCGAGCACCTGAAGTGAGGTCACAAGGGGAGCCTCACCATTTGAAGCTCAAATCTGGGTCATTAAGTACCTGCATATAGGTCTGTTGTAAGTTTGAGAGTTGCTGGTCTTAAGTTGAGGACTACCTGTAAACTTTACTAGGGCTTACTAGGACTACCAGGGTTAAGCCTCTGAAGTTCCCTAGAATAGTATGCAATGCAGAGCATAGTAACTAATTTTTACTTCCTTTTTCATCTTGCACTTTTAAGTACACAAAACATCCTACTGAAATGGACAGCCTGTTTGTTCTACTGGTTTAATGCCCCAACCTAAAGACCAAGAGACAGTGAGTTCTAGTTCCACCTTAGGCATGAAAGCCAGCTGGGTGACCCGGGGCCTATCACCAGGAGACAGTGAGTTCTAGTCCTGCCTTAGGCACAAAAGCTGGTTGTGTGACTTTGGGCCAATCACTAGGAGATGGTGAATTCTAATCCTGGAGTAGGCAGAATGCCAGCTGGGTGATTTTGTGCCAGTCGCCAAGAGATGGTGAGTTCTAGTTCCAGGTTAGGCATGAAAGCCGGCATGACTTTGAGCCAGTCACCAGGGGAGTGTGAGTTTTAGTCCTGTTTTAGGGGTGAAAGACAGCTGGGTCCAGCTCACCTCATTGAGTGGTTGTTGTGGGGAAAATAGGAGGAGGAAGGTGTGATGGCCACATCCAATTCAGATTCTGTGCAAAGCCACGATCGGATCAATACTTCTTTAGAGAGGGGTTGTGATTTCTGGTGCTTTTCCTGTTGTGTCAGGTGTTGCCCGTGAGCAAAAACAGCCAGATGATCACCTTCACCTTTCAAAATGGCTGCGTGGCCACTCTCCGGACCAGCGGAACCGAACCAAAGATTAAATACTACGCGGAGATGTGTGCGCCGCCAGGCCAGAGGTGGGGAAACTCTTTCCTGTAAACCAAGCCTGATTCCTGGAAGGCTTTAGCCAAGTTGGAGGGAGTGGGGGAGGGGTAGAGGGAAGAGGAAATGGCCTTGAAGGACAGGAGGAAGTTCCACCCCCAAAGCAATGGCCAGATAAACAGGGCTTGAGCCTTGCCTTGGAAAGTAACTTGAATAAGAGAAGCCTTTCCCTAGTTCACGTAGAAGTAAAAGTGAAGTAAAGGTGGGGGTGGAAGCCCACTCAGACGTGCAAGATGCTGTTGCTATAGCTTTACAAAAAAAGTAGTCCTCTATGACCTCTATGGTTTCTCAGTCTAGACTTCCTTGTAGGGTGATGACCGTTATTTCTGATTTTGGAAGGACTTCCTCTTTGGATGCGCAAGGCAGGATATATTGCCTTTCCCCTCTCAGCTTCCCAGTATCCCAACAACAAGGTTATGGAGGGTGCTGCTGCAGTGGCAGAGGGGAAGCCTGTTGGCAACTGGAAGGGGTCTCTTCCTCCTCCTCTTCCTCTTCCTCTTCCTCCTCCCCCCCCCAAACCCCACTCCCTTCTAGCACCAATGAGGTTACCTAGTTGGGTAATAAAACACCTGCAAGGAAACAGCCAGGCTCAGAGATCACCAAGCACTCCACAGTTAAACTCTGAGCTACAAATGTTGCTTTCTATTGAAGAGAATATCCTGTATTTTTTTCTGCTGCCCAGCTGACAGCCCTCTCTCCCCTAGCTTGACTTTGCCAAGACTTTGGGGGTGAGGAGCAGCAGGTGGGTTGCCTGTGGGTTTGGGGCTTTAGAATGAACCTTCCTATTTTGATGGTTTCCAACTCTTGTCTTCCTTGCTCTTTAGCGATGTCGCCTTTTTGGAAGAGGACCTCACGAAGCTCATCGGAGCCCTCGTGGAGCACTTTCTGGAGCCCAGCAAGAACCAACTCACCTGGCGCTGTGTGTAGCAGCCAACCCCCCCCACCCCCTCCCTCCCTCCGGCCTTGGCTGTCGTCGACGTAATTCCTTGCACTGTGTCCTGCGGAATTCAGGAACCAAGAGGAAAGCCTCCTCTCCTCTCCTTGCATTCATTTCATAGGTGTCTGTGAGTGTTTGCTGCGTGGGGTGTCTGTGTCCCTTAGCCAGCATCCCGGAGCAGTAACATTTTGTCAGCTTAGTGTACCAAGTAGTTAAACTGCTTTGAAGCTGGCCAGAGATGCCCTCAAAGAGAGTCAGAACCTGTGGGAAGGGTCTCTGGCATCAGCTCCTGGTGTTCCCCCTCCCCCTTCCCCTCCCCCTCCCCACAGCACAGGTCAGCTGTCTAAATTCTTTGCTCTACAAAGGTCCTTCCGGAGTTCGGAAACGACTAGATTGCAAAAGAATAATTGTGTTAAGCCTGAAAAAAAGGTTCTGCTTCTACATCGTTAGCTAGAATATCGGTATTATCTTTACTGTGTTATCAAGTCTTAATTTTTCCAAGGTTTTTTTTTTTTGGTTTGTTTTCTAGCTCATGCTGTGGTATTCAGTAGTCCTAGGGATTCCAGCTGTTTTTCAATCTCCTTAGATCGTCTTTGCTGGGTGGCGTTTTCACCCCTGACAATTTTGCTTCTTGACATCAACTGAGCCGTTAAACCAGTCAAGATGAGCTAAGTCAGCTGAGGTTTTGGTCTTTCCTTCCATGCTTTTCTGCAAGTTAAGTTGAGCTGGACTCAGGTGGATCCCAACTATTTTAGAATAGCTGATAGGGGCTGTGTCAGATTTACGTCTGAACACCCTGCTTACGAAAAAGCAAATTTTTCACGTAAGTCTCATCGTGCACAGAGACTCCCTTAATTTGCAAACATAATCAGTCCTATTTAAACTGTAGAGGTTGGAAGAGAGCCTGTTAATGACTTGCCAGAACAAAGGAGGTTTATCGATGCTGTGATGAAGGTTACATCTCTCTCCAACTATTTATATTAACAAGTGCTGGCTTGCAAGGTTGAACTTCAGAGAGTAAACATGGTACACCACTGTTTCTGCAACCTTGTCCGCTTGAAGATGGGTGGACCTCAACTCCCAGAAGCTATGCTGGCTGGGGGATTCTGGGAGTTGAAGTCCACCCTTCTTCCAGTGGCCAAGGCTGAGAATCACAGTTGTAAGACAATCTTGGTGCTCAGAAGTTAACATTTTTCAAGCAAAGGGATCTCCTTGGAATATTTTGGCTTGACTAAGATATCCCAGGAAAATGCAGTAGGGTGGAAAATTTTGCATCCAATTGTGTATTGGCCTGCCTCTTCCCAATTTCCAAATGCCATGTTGGCTAGGAGTCCTCTAAATTGAAGTCCCTCCAGGAAGATGCATTAGGTAAATTATGGAATATACCCAGTTTGGTGCATTTTTCCATCCTCTGTGCTAAGTTGTAGCCTGGGACATCCATGGAAAGCAGGATGAGAAAAACTGGCAGAGTTGGCTTCACCGCAGAGCAGAATCTTTGGCATGGATCATTGAACCCTCAGCTGCTTTCCTCCATGTAGCTGCGTGGAACCTCTGGCCTTCTAGTGGGCAGAAGTCCGGGGGTGGGTGGGGACGACTAGCACAACACGCAGGATGCTTCCAGTCCCCTTCCTGCCTGGAAGAGAATTGAGGGAGGGTGTAGCTTTGGTGTAAGGTCAAATTGGAAGCACAGAAGTCCGATGCAGCTGCCAGGGCTACACGGAAGAATGAATCTATACATGGATTCTACAGCATTCATTGCCATACTCGTTTCTAGCTTCCAGGCAGATAATCTCAAGAATTATCATTTATTTAATTTTAGGAAAATGGAAAAATTGGGTCTAAACGACGCCCGAGGGGGCTGTTGTGTAACTGTATGAAAATTCATGCAGTCACAGGAACGAAGCGAAGCCTTTTGCACATTGCAGGGATTTTGAAGAACTATCTGTACAGATTTAAGCTTCCATTGATACAACCTAGAGCCAGATTTATTGCCTTTCTGGGATAAATTATTTATTCTTTGAAATGGGAAGTGTTAACTCTAGGTCATTCACTCCATGGGCTTTACAGGCATTTCCAAAGTTTGAAGCTGTGCAATAGATGTTCTTGATATATTTTGTCTTCAATTTACATGCAATATTTATTTATTTATTTCGCTTTTATTTAAAGCTTTAAGTACCTTCCAGGTTTTCTATACTTTTGAGTGACCGATACCAAATGCTGGTTTTTTTAAAAAAAAATATGCTATTGTTTTTCTTTTTGTTTTCTGTATATTTGCAAGTGCTCCTATTCTAGTGAAGAAAGCCTAATTTATGTGGTGGAAACCTTCCCGGAAACTGTGGATAAAATATGCTTGCTTGAGATCTATAGCCTGATTTAAAATGCCATCAGAAAACAAGAGGAAGGCGAACACAATACTTTTGAGACTTTTTTTCTGCACTTTGTTCTAATTTTGGCAAAGAACAACCTTGCTTTGGAACAAACAAACACGAAAGAACAAAATCGTTTCTCCTTAGTTGGCATGCGGTCTTTGGAAATGTCTCCTAGGGACAGAAGACGATTAAAATTTCCCACTTCATATAATGGAGAACTTATTTAAGGAATCACAAATAAAAAAAAAAACCACCCATCAAAATTTCCCAGTTCATATAATACAGACGTTAGATAAGGAATCTCTACTGGAGTAGGCTGTGTGATAATGCCCTTTTGTGGGTGAGGAAGGGTGTGTGGTGGATGCTCTTAAGGAAGTGCCCCACAAAACAGCATAATTTTATGTGTTCATACAGTGAGAATTGACTGTCTTCGTTTTTTAAAGTTTTGCATACATTTTCTTTCCTTTTTGTTTTGCACTGTTAAGGGAATGTTTTAGCTCAGGGGTGTCCAACCTTGGCTGGCTGGCTGGGGAACTCTGGGAGTTGAAGTCCACAAGTCCTGAAGTTGCCAGGGTTGGACATCCCTTGTTCTAGCTTACAAAATTCTCTGGCATGCTTCCAGCTGGTCTCCACGGGATGAAGATGCAGCCTTTGAAAACAATGTGGGCACGAGAGACAAAAATTGGGACAATATTAGCTTTGTTCCGCTTTAAGTGGAAAGAATGCCTGTTGTCCAGCAATTATCTTAACGGTCTTCCTTCCCTCAACTCTGTCGTAAAGTCGGTGGCAGCCACTCTCTTTCAGGACAGGGGAACAGAACGAAAGTCTTGGATCTTTCTTGTGAAAACAGATCCTTTTGGTGCTCTGTTGGCAATTGGGCAGAAGGTACATGTTTCTCCTCATTAGTGGTGGCAGGAGTGGGCCACTTCTGCACTGCTGTGTGGCAACCTCACGGACGGACGGATGCTTGAATGGTGGTCCACTTCGTGACCCCAGGAAGTGTTGCAATGACAGTTGGGCTTTGGAAGTGGGCAACCTCAGTTGGGTGTCACCCAGATTCTCTCGCATGTCTCTGGCCTTGACACCTTTGCTGTTCCCAAGCAGTTGGGGGTTTGAACCCTCCTGAACAAACAAGCTGCTTGATATCTCCATGGGTGGGTGGGTGGGTGCTGTGGGGTGTTTCAGAGTGACACCACAGCTGGAAGGGATTGGGGCAAGGGTGCAACCATAGGCAGCATCTCCATGGAGTATCTTTCCATGGTTTAAGGAAGCTGCATTGCTGCTTGATAAAGCACAAGAGAACCTCTTAGAGGTAGGAGCCACGGTGGTCATCATATGTGAGGTTGGAAGTTGGGTAGATCTTTGGGGAGGGATCCCACGGAGTGGTCGTCTACTTTTGAAGAATCGAGTCAGTCCTGTTGAGAGCTTTCATCTTTGAAAATAGGACCCTGCTCTCCAGGCCTGGTGACCAGCTTCAAGGTGTGTAGCTAGCCTTGAAATCTGGGTAAGACCCCTGAGAACGAAGACTTGGTCTCTTGGCCAGAGAATGAGGAGTTACACCCGACTCAGGAGGCCTCCACTGACCATTGTAAAAGAGATGGATCTTCCTCGATCGTCCCAAAGGTGCTTTTTCCAAGAGGCAAGAGGACTTTCTGGTTTTTCACCGAAGACGTTTTGCTTCTCTGCAAGGAGTATAAACCCTTCCATCCTCCACCATCCAGTCAGAGATGATGAAGCTTCTTGGATGACAAGCGAAACGTCTTCAAAAGAAAAAAAGTCCAGTTGCCTCTTGAAAAAAGCAACGTTGGGACGACCGTGACCTGGAGGACTGAGAATAATCTCTGTAGACCAGGGGTCTTCAACCATGGCAACCTTTAAGACTTGTGGACTTCCACTCTCAGAATTCTGGGAGCTGAAGTCCCACAAGTCTTAAAGGTGCCAAGGTTGGAGACCCCTGGTCTATAGACCTCTTCCTTGATGGGTTTCTCTCAGAAGGTTGTGGACCTCGGACTCCGAGGGGCCTTCCTGACCAGAGCCCTTGCTTCTTCCCACAAACACGCAAGTCATGCAAAGCTTCTTCAGGAAGAGAAGCTCTTTTCACCCCCATGGATGGTCCACCTTACCTGTGGCCCAGGGTCAAGCTCTCCACCTTCCCTGAGGTGGAACCTTGTACCTTGAACCCCGCTTCTGAGTAGCTCTGTAGAACTGTCCACTGCTTAATAGTGGAAGAGGTGAGATGTCCACAAATATGTAGACGCAACATTTGCACGCAAGAGCAGAAATGGTCCACAGCCCCCACCCCTCCTTCGGGAACTCGGTTGAAGAAGTGTGTCTCCTTCCATTGGAATCAACCAATCTTCCTTTATTTGAACTTGGGGGAAAAACGTGGGATGAAGTTGTCCTTAAATTGTTTTCCTCACTCAATTGATCCCATAATTTGAGTGGCTCCTGCTTCGTAGCTCTTGTTCAGGGGAAGCAGATGGCTTTGTTTTTGGGGGGGGGGTCCGAAGCCCCCTCCCCCACTTCTTGCTCTTCAGCTCTTTGCGCTCCTTCCATTTCACACCTGCTTTTCTACCCAAGAGACGACAATTGTGCTCTCCCTGTGGACTCCAGACTTTGCACTTTCTCCCCACCCCTTCCTGTTGGAAGTGTTTTGTGTCCGGATTTTGATGTCGATTTGGTTAAAAGTGTTCTGTTAATAAAACGTTACCTTGATAGAGGTGTCCATTGGGGTCTCTTTTTTGACATGGGACTTTGGACGACGAGAGATTTAGAAAAAGGGGGAAGGAAAAATCCACAAACCCCAAAAGTTGGGGCTTTGTGGTTTAACAAGGGAAAGCAGGGTGGCTGACGGAAGTTTTTTAATTTCAGTTTGCGGTTTCTGCAAAGCAGTACTGGAAATCCTCGACGTATGGCACAATAGAGCCCATCATTTCTGTTGCTAAGCAAGGCGGTTGTTTGGCCCCATTTTACCACAGTTCTTAAGTGAATCACTGCAGTTAACTTAGTAACACGGTCGTTAGATGAATCTGGCTTCCCCATTGACTCTGCTTATTAGAAGGTTGCAAAAGGGGATCGCGTGACCCCAGGACACTGCGACCGTCATAAATGTGAGTCATTTTGATCCTGTTACCCTGGGGATGCTGCAACAGTCGTAAGGGTGAAAAACAGACACAAGCCATCCTTTTTTAGTGCTGTTGTAAGTCGAGGACTGCCCGTATATGGAAAAAAGCACCTTTGAAGAAGTCCCAACAAGCTACAGTTTTCATAGAAGAAAGAATGAAGAAGTGCCCAGGGGAGGAGGGGGGAGGAAGCCTTGATGGAAGAGAAATGGGAACTGTAGTCTTTGGGAGCTGTGCATGATGGGTGGTCCACCTTTGGAACTCTGGCCTGTGTTTTTAATGGACAAGAAGGACCAAGAGCAGCGGAAATGATCGTGCGTGATTCAGATCACAGCAGGACATAAATGCAGTGTATAAAATATCAATACAATGTGAGTTTTTCCAACCATAGCTACTTCAAGAGGTATGGACTTCAACTCCCAGAATCCCCCAGCCAGCATGGCTGGCTGGGGAATTCTGGGAGTGTGGCTCCCCCAAACATTCAGCCAGACAGTTATCATTTACTACTTTATATGTGCAAAAGAAAAATGTGGCTACTCTAAGTTATTTAAAATAATAATTTGCCAATAAATTAAACAAATTTAAAACAGGTCCATGCGGATAAATCCCCCAAAGCAAAACTTCCAATGGAAAGTACAGCTGTTGCAATCTGACCTGTAACTCCTCACTGCATCCACCAGGGGGGGCTATGACCATCCTAAATCAAGGCTGGGACCTTCGCTCTTTGCAAAAGCAGCTGCATCGTCAGCCCGTTTGTTACCTTCCAGATGTGAGGGATCAGAGCATCTATCATCCCCTGCCCGTCGAGCAGGCACGCTGGGAGCAATGAGAATTCTCCCTGGGAAGGAAATTTACCCAAGTTAGAAATGGTACTACAGGGTCTCTTGCTTGAGCAGAGGGGGTTGGACTAGATGACCTACAAGGTCCCTTCCAACTCTTATTCTATTCTAACTGGGGCAGAATCCAGCCTGCAGAATCATTTGGTGTCAGTTTACTGGTAGTCCTTGACTTGCAAACCATTCGTTTAGTGGCTGAAGTTACAGCAGCCCTGAAAAAAGTGATCTGTGATCATTTTTCGCACGGCATCGCTGTGGCCACGTGACTGAACAGCTGCAACTCTACATCAAGTCTCCTCTTGCTCGTTTGGGGATTGACGGCTTAACCAATCAACCTTGCTGGCTGGGGGAATTCTGGGAGCTGTTGGCCCACCCATCTTGGAAGTTGCTGAGGTTGAGAACCACCAAGACAGATTATTCAGTCAGCTGCTTAATTTGTTCTGGGCAGTAGGCTCTCTAAAAGTCTAAAAGGAACACCGGTAAAAGTGAAACAATCCCCGGTTAAACACTGAGTAAATCCAGTGGGTTCCACATCAGGAATTGAAGAGAAGGTGACCCTGGTGAGATGAATGGGGATGGATTGTCCCATTAATCTCCCAAGTAAGGACATTTTACAGAGGCATGAAAAATAAGGTGTCATTTTTCCTTAGCAGCGTGTGCAAATGATGTTATTACTACACAAGGATCCTTCCTTCCTTCCGCTCTCCCACCCACCCTTTTTTCCTTCTTTCCATCTTTACTCCCTATTTTTCCACCCTTTTTTCCTTCCTTCCTCTCTCCCTTTTTTCCTTCCATCTTTATTCCCTCTTTTTCTACCCTTCCTTCCTTCCTTCCCTTTCTGTCCTCCCTTAGTTCCTTTTTTCTTCCTCCCTTCCATCCATCCTGTTTCTTCTTTTTTTCCTTCCTTCCTCCCTCCCTTCCATCTTTCCTCGCTCCCTCTCTTCCTCTTTTCCATCCATCCATCCCTCTCTCTTTCCTCCTTCCTTCCCTCCCTCTCTGTTTTTTTCCTGATACTCCAGTGAGAGGGCTTGCAAAATAAAAAAAAATAAAACAGCCAATTTCAGATAATATTTCCAACAACAATTGGAAATACATTCCGGCTCTATCTCGCTTAAATTTTCCTCTGCCCTGGTGTTTTGCCTCAACAGAGGTGGGGACCCTCTCTCTGCCCATCAACTATCACGCACAATCTCCAAGAAGGATAAAACTATAAGCAAAAATCCAGACCCATCCTTGCAGGGCTCAGCAAAGAATAAAGAGAGGCACTTTGCATTGGCCCTCCAAATGGAATATCTAAGATTATTTCCAGCACCTAAAGAGTTAAGGCGACCTGCGCAAGGGCATCCTAAAAAGGGGCAGAATTTAGAGACTGTATCTATCTGGTCCAGAAGATGCAAGCTAATTTGCAGCCCATCTCGGTTTAAATTACCAAAACTGACCCAAACCACAAATTGGTGGCGTCCCAAATTCACCCTTATTAAACCACAAGGAACTCTGATTCAGATAGACTTGACCTGCGAAGCAGCCAATTACAAAAAGTTGTGGCTTCATCCCAACTCTTTATTAGAGATAAGAATGTAATTTGCACACGGGGAGCAGGTGTGTTGACTACCTCACTGGGCTTTTCAGACCGAGGATATTTTTTTCCTAGAAGTAGCTGGAGACTTTGAGCAATTTGAAGCGGGACATTGGCTGGCACAAAATGCTCTTTTGCTGTTCCTCTTAAGAACAATGCAAGGCACCGGTCCTCATGAAGATCGAGGAGAGACCGTTTGACCAGGAAACCTGGCCTATGCATCTCAATCCCGAAAACAACGAGGAACGGTGACTCACCAATTTCCTAAACTGGAATTCTTCCAAATTCCAGAACGGATGGCAACTGAATTGCCCATTTTGCTTCTGCAGCAAAAGTCTCCTGGAATTTAATACAGGAGGTAATCCTCGACTTACGACCACAGTGGCGACAAGAATTTTCCGTGGGAAAGCAAAGCGGTCGATCAATTTTCACCCAATTTTATGAGCCATTTTTGCCCCGGTTCTTAAAACGGGTTGTTCCGGTTCAGTGACTCACATGGTCATTAAATGAATCCATTGACTTTGCTTGTTCGGAAGCCATCTGGGAAGGTGGCAGAGGGTGATGCTGGGATGTGTCACAGGTATATGCTGGTTGCCAAAAACACCTGGCTTTTAGCCACATGACCACGGGGAGGCTGCAACGGTCGTAAGAGCGAGGACCGACGGTCAAGTCACTTTTGTCAGTGCTGTTGCAGCTTTGAACGGTCGCTAAACAAATGGTTATAAGCCGAGGACTGCTTGTATGCTTGAATACGTAGAGCAGAGTTCCCCCAAACTTTCCGGGTTGGAGGCCCGGAGCCCAGGAGGGAAGGGGGGAGGAGGAAGAGAAGGGGGTTTTGTGGAAGGGGAGGTGCATTTGCATGTGCAAGCACCTATTGCTCATGTGAGGGGGGGTCCCGAGCACCCATGACACGTGAGGGGATGTGCGTGCATGTGCACAGCTGGCCACTCATGCGGCCCAGTTGCGAATAGGCCATGAACTGGTAGTGGGCTGTGGGCCACAGGTTGGGGACCCCTAATCAGTGGTGAAATGTAAAATTTGTTACTACCTGTTCTGTGGGCGTGGCTTGGTGGGGGGAGGTAATATGACAGAGTGGGCGTGGCCAACTTTTTTTTTTTTTTTTACTTTTAAAACTCAGCTGAAGAGGTTGTAAAAAAATGCTTTTAAAAGCCTCTGACGATCCCAGCTGACTTGCCTGATCGGCAGAGGCTTTTTTTCCTTTTAAAAACATTTTTTTCTATAACCTCTTCAGCCGAAGAGGTTGCAGAAAAAAAATGCTTTTAGAAGCCTCTGGCGATCCCAGCTGAGCCACACAATCATCAGAGGCTTTTTTTTTTTTTTTTACTTTTAAAAGCATTTTTTTCGGCCTAAGAGGTTGTAGAAAAAATGCTTTTAAAAATAATTTTAAAAAAAGCCTCTGATGATTGCGCGGCTCAGCTGGGCAAAGGGGGGAGGGGAGGCAGGGATTTTTGCTACCAGTTCTCCGAACCACCCGCCTCCATCGCTACCGGATCGGGCGATCCGGTCCGAACTGGGAGCATTTCACCCCTGCCCCTAATGTAGAGGAACGAGCTAGTCTCTGGGTCTCCCCATCCCCTCATGCCTTAAAAGCAAAAATAACCCAGCAAGAAAAGGGGAAGGAGAAACACCCCAGTATGGGATCAAAACAGGAGAGTTTGCTTCTTCTGGGGATGTTCTCATCACTGCTGATGTTATCTACCGTGTTTCCCCGAATATAAGCCCTCCCCCCAAAATATTTAACCGCTTGTGCAGCCGGTCTCCGCCATTTCCTCTGGTTAGGGTTAGGGAAGCAGAGCTGGAAATCAGGTAAGATGGCAAGAGGAGCCCCGTCTTGCTCCACATGCCTCAAAATAATAAGACCCTCTCCGAAAATAAGGCCAAGTGCTTATTTCGGGGTTCAAAAAAATATAAGACAGGGTCCTATTTTCGGGGAAACATGGTAGTTAGGACATGAAACATCTGCAAGAAAACAACTCGGCACAGAGAGCACCCCACTGTCATCGTCGTCCTCTCTGCAAAGCCCCCTCCCTTCTAGCACTGATGATGTTACCTAGTTGGGTCATGAAACGTCTGCAAGAAAGCAACCAAGCTCAGAGAGCACCAAAGACCCTGCAATCCTCTTCCTCTTCCTCCTCTTCTTCCTCTTCCTCCTCCTCCTCT